GACACACGCACAGGGGGAATCCCCACGCAGCCTGCGACACACGCACATGGGGAATCCCCACGCAGCCTGCGACACACGCACAGGGGGAATCCCCATGCAGCCTGCGACACACGCACATGGGGAATCCCCACGCAGCCTGCGACACATGCACATGGGGAATCCCCACGCAGCCTGCGACACACGCACATGGGGAATCCCCACGCAGCCTGCGACACACGCACATGGGGAGTCCCCACGCAGCCTGCGACACACGCACATGATATGATTAACCCAGCGTATCGTAAATCCTTAGCGTTTTATAATGAGTTCCGGTTGAATAACTGCTGACTCCCTTGCAGACAAATGGCATAATGCCACAGAGGGAATCAATCAATTAGTTAATCAAGTATCACCCCGATTCTACTAAGCACCCTGTCGTTAAACATGTTAACTTATACTAGATTGCATTCTACATCTGACAAACTAATTACTTCCTCTTGTCAGTAACTCCTAAAAGAATTATTAGATTGGTCAGAAAAATACATTTGGCTTTTATACAGTACCATTTTATACCATTGTGGGCCATTGTGAACTCCACCATAAAAAACATGAAAGCCTTCCTTTTTCTTTTGTCCTTCTTATTCACATTTCTTTTGTTTTTCCTTGTGGATTCACCACTTGGCCAAATGCAGTTTTTTGTATCTCTATTCTGTTATTCCGTTACACGCGCGGGCATCGCGGAGGCCGGCCCCGTTACACGCGCGGGCATCGCGGAGGCCGGCCCCGTTACACGCGCGGGCATCGCGGAGGCCGGCCCCGTTCTTCATGCAGGGATCGCTGAGGCGTGTAAAACTTACCATGCCAATGGCTCTAGGAAAGGGCGGCCTCTGATTTTCCGGCACGAACATGGGAGGCACAAGGAGCGACCTCCTCTTTCTGTATGGCAGCTGGCCCAGACCAAGGATCTCCTGCCCAGACGAGAGCAAAGGGAAAAGGTCAGAGCTGCATGGTCTCTCTCTCTCTCTTTCTCTCTCTCTCTTTCACACACACACACACACACACACACACACAGTGCTCACAGGTTACTGATCTTGGGATCAGTATCAGAAACACACAAAAAGCAGTAAACATTGTTTTGGCACAAAGGAAAGACATTTCAATATGAATTTATTAGATGCACAAAATAAGTAATCATACTGTAAGACAGAATGTTAAAACTTACATTCTGTCCATATTGCTTTGCTTAATTCAATGCACTTAAACCAAACTGAAATTATATAACAGTAAAAAAACTGCAAGGCATAGCTATTTAAAAGCCATACAGTTGATTATCCTATTTGACTCAAAGTTTACTATAATACTGAGACAATCCCAGTAAGTATAAGACACAAGGCAGAGGACATTGTGGATGGGATTCTAGTCCAGTGTTTCCCAGTCTGGTTCTCGGCTGCCCACAGACAGAAAGGTGGACTGTCTGGAAGGGAGCTTGGAAGGAGCAAGAAAGTGCACCGGCTGTGGGTTCCTGAGGACTGGACTGGGAAACACTGTGATAAGTCCATCACAAGGGATCAATGCACAGATTCAGACACACACACACAGAAAATCACAAACTGAGAAGACTTCCATAACTGTCTAGAAATTAGCCAGCCTCTGTGTGTCTTTGGAACCTCATGCAACAGTAGGAGAACAGGCAAACTCTATGGCCACATACAGTATAGGGCAGGGGCAAGATTCGAACCCGAAACCATGGAGGCAATGGCACTACCCACCGTCCTACCCCTGAAAAACATGAAGGCCAGAACAGAAACTCATCTACAAGTAACATGAGCATTTATATCCTTTAACATTGCCTGAGTTGTAAAGCTACACTGAAGGGAGTAGGACTGTCCCTGTAATACAGATCAACTCAAACACGTGGCTCAGAGTTTCCCCCATTGCGAGTGTCCTGGAAAATTGAATGCTCTGTATTACTGATTTCTCCAAACATTGGAATATGCAAAAACAAACCTAATAATACTTTGGAGCCCTCTGGGATGGAAAGATGAAGGCGGCAAAGGTGATTTGGAGGCACAGCATGGTCAGGTGACCAGCAGGCGGTCAGGTGACCAGCAGGCGGTCAGGTGACCAGCAGGCGGTCAGGTGACCAGCAGGCGGTCAGGTGACCAGCAGGCGGTCAGGTGACCAGCAGGCGGTCAGGTGACCACGAGGCTCCAGACTCATGAACTGCGTTGTCATATTTTATGGTCCTGCTGAAAAGGTCACTGGGGGCCTGTTGACCACTGCATCCTTTCATCAGGCGACGTACTGTATGCATAAAATGCTTCTCCCAGTGAGGAGAAACATTATTAGAGGACAACACAATTGCTCCCATTTAATGTTGAGATGAGATGTAGAAAAGGTTGTGGTGGTGAGCATACAGATGACATCTTTGAGGGAGCACCGGAATCCTGATTGTCACCATTTTCACTTCCCCTTAATGAAGAAAAATTGCATTACAATTATTTGGGCTGCTGCATGCAGGAAGAGCCAAAATGTGCCAAAGGCCGAGCTCCAAGGGTCCAGCTGGAGGCACCGGCGTGCGGCTGGGACTGATGGTGGAGCCACGCGACTTTAGTAAGACCCACCATTAACTGGCTGACCTCGCGCTTGTTTAATCTCCCTCTGATCCCCGGCTCCCTTTCATCTTCCTTTCCGTGACTCTGACTCTCTTGCTCTGCTTCTCAAATTCAGATTCAAAATGAGCTTTATTGGCAGCAAGGAAATGATCAAAGTTATTGCCAGAGCAAGATGAATGGACACCTGAGGATCGACAAAAGTGTAGAAGAGAGGAACTGAAGAATGACAAAACTACAAGTTCTGCCTCCTCTCACTCCCTTTTACTCTCCCTCACCCCCACATTCCCTCCTCCAATTTCACTCATCCCTCCCTTCCTCTCTCCATCCCTCCCTTCCTCTCTCCCTCCCTCCCTCTCTCTCTTCCTCTCTCCCTCCCTTTCACTCTTCCTCTCTACCTCCCTCCCTTTCCCTCTCCCTCTCTCCATGTTCTACCCATGTTCTTCCCCTCCATGTCATTGCTGCAGCTCTGCCCGCTTAGTCACTAAAGCAGGTTTTATTTGTCACTCCCGCAGCCAATGAGAGATGTGCCAAGGTGGCCCCAGCCAAGGTGCCTGAGCCACACGTATGCCAGGTCGGCCCGTGCTGATAAAGAGCTTCCTGGGCCCTCAAACCACACAGATCCCTGCCAGCGCCATTTAGGAGAGAGGGGGACGGACCAGCAGGAGTGGAAGAAAGGGAGTGACGTGATTGGTGCAATGCTGCCGGGAGCCTGCGAGAGAGGGCCGACCCCGCCACTCAAACGGGCATGGCCACAGGTACAGAGGCAGGACTAAATCAGGTTAAAGCCAACTGTGGACAGGGAGGCAGGCAGAAAAATGTGATTGATATGAGTACAAGGGAATTCAGGGTTCAACAAAACAGTGGAGAGGGACAGACAGATTTCACCAGAAGGGAAATAAACAAGAAAACAAAACAGGAAATGGGTTTAGCAGAGGATGACCAAGTCCAGGAGTGTGGTCTGGGGCAGAGAGATAGAAAACAGCAGTGTGGCTCAGGGGGTTAGGACACCGTGATCAAAAGGTCGGCAGTTTGAGGGTCGGCAGAGTGGTTTCTACTGTTGCATCATTGAGCAAAGGCCCTAAACCCCCAATCGCTGTAGGGACATTCTGACCTTACTTTTCAAACATATAATGTATGTTACTTTGGATGAAAGCGTGTGCAAAATAAAATAAACGTAGTGCCTGGGACTTCTGCTTATACCCAGATACACTGATCAGCCACAACATTAAAATCACCTGCCTAATATTGTGTAGGTCCCCCTCATAGGTCCCCTTCGCAGGACCCCCTCGCAGGTCCCCCTCATAGGTCCCCCTCGCAGGTCCCCCTCATAGGTCCCCCTTGCAGGACCCCCTCATAGGTCCGCCTCGTAGGTCCCCCTCGTAGGTCCCCCTCATAGGTCCCCCTCGCAGGTCCCCCTCATAGGTCCCCCTCGCAGGACCCCCTCGTAGGTCCCCCTCATAGGTCCCCCTTGCAGGTCCCCCTCGTAGGTCCCCCTCGTAGGTCCCCTTTGTGCCACCAAAATGACAACGTAACAACAAGGCATGGATTCCACAAGACCTCTGAAGGTGTCCTGTGGTATCTAGCACCAAGACATTAACAGCAGATCCTTTATGTCCGGTAAGTTCTGAGGTGGGACCTCTGTGGATCAGACTGGTTTGTCCAGCACATCCCACTGATGTTCAATCAGATAGAAATATAGAGAATTTGGAGGCCAAGGCAACACATTGAACTCTGTTTCATGTTCCTGCAGTGTGACAGGGAACATCACCGTGCCTAAAGTGGCCACCATCCTTGGAGAATATTGTTACCATGAAGGGGTCTACTTGGTCTGCAACAATTTATAGGTAGGTGGTTCATGTCAAAGTAACATCCACATGAATGCCAGGGCCCAAGGCTTCCCAGCAGAACAATGCCCAGAGTATCATTCCACCTAGACCAGCTTGCCTTCTTCACAGCTCTTCCTCAGGTAAAGGATGCCCATGTACCCAGCCGTCTACATGATGTAACAGAAGATGTAACTCATTAGACCCATCCATCCATCCATTTTCCAAACCGGGGGTCGCGGGGGGTCCGGAGCCCATCCCGGAAGCTATGAAGCACGAGGGGCATGAGGCGGGGAACAACCCAGGATGGGGGGCCAGCCACTCATCAGACCAGGCCACCTTTTTCGATTACCCATGGTCCAGTTCTGACGCTCGCATGCCCATTGTAGGCGCCTTCGGCAGGGGTCAGGGGTCAACATGGGCACTCTGACTGGCCTGCGGCTAGACAGCCCCACATGCAGCAAGATGTGATGCACTGTGTGCTCTGATACCTTTCTATCATAGAAGCCTTAAAAGTACAGTAGCTCTCCAGTGGGATTGGACCAGATGGGCTGGCCTTCACTCCCCACGCACATCAGTGAGCTTTGGGCGCCCATGACCCCGTCACCAGTTCACTGGTTGGCCTTCTTTGGATCACCTTTGGTAGGCACTGACCAGAGCATATGAGGAACACCCTACAAGACCCATCACTTTGGAGATGCTCTGACCCAGTCGTCTAACCATCACAGTTTGGCCCTTGCACAAATCCTTACACTTGCCCATTTTTCCATCTTCTAACACATCAACTTCAAGAACTGACTGTTCACTTGCCTGATACATGACATCACCCTTGAGAGGTGCCCTTATAACGAGATAATCAAATGCTATTCACTTCACCTGTCAGTGGCTTTAATGTTATGGCTGATCAGTGTATTCCGCAAGACGTAAACACACACGCGTAACACGTTTGGAACATGCTAAGATCGAGGTTCCCTCCATCCCCATCACCACCCCATCCAGGAATTTGTGCAGGTGCTCTGCATTTTCAAACCAATTCAGAGGTTAAGGTTCTTATTGCTGCTGATAATTAACACTATTGTTCAGATAAAGCTAAGCAGCCATTCTTTCTAGATGTTTTTTTAAACCCTTCCATCACATTCCTAGCACTCCGGTTTCCCAGCCGGCAATACAGACTCCTGCCATGAGACTGAGCTCCATTTCCTCACTCGATCCAAAACTCCGCTTCCTCACGATGCTGCCGGACAATTAGCGTCAAAACGTCAGAAAATGAGGCCGGGGGGTTAGGGGCAATTATCATGCCAAGATCTGGTCATTTAAGAAAGGAGTTTTAAAAAGTGCCCTCGCTCCGTCCTATCTGACAGCCGGCCAGCAGTCTGGCTTGACTGCGCCTTCCCCGTTCCTAACGCAGTCTGGCTTGACTGCGCCTTCCCCGTTCCTAACGCAGTCTGGCTTGACTGCGCCTTNGCAGTCTGGCTTGACTGCGCCTTCCCCGTTCCTAACGCAGTCTGGCTTGACTGCGCCTTCCCCGTT